TCGGAAATGTGTTTTCGAGTTGGCAGGATTACTTAAGCGGGATTATAATACTAATTATTGGGCGGCATAGCCCTAAAAGTAGTTCGGACTCGTTAGGTTGTTGACTCCTGAATGTAGTATCATTTGACCTCCTGCAACAAGTGCCCTTGGTTAAAAATAACTACTAAATCGGCATGTATTTTTCATATTTATTTTCGATGGTCTTATACATTCGAATATATGTTATAAAAACATGCCTGAAGATGCGCTTTCTTTTGCTCGATTGGTAGCAAGTCATGTCCTCTTTACATTTTATGCTCAAAGATACAGTATTTTTCGTTTTAAAGTTTCCAATTAGGGGGTTTTATAAGACTGTGCAATGTCCATTCATACAGTATCGTATCTATCTGCTTGTTAATGCTCCTCATGTAGTGTACAACATAATCTGCATTCACTGCAAAATCTCGGGAAATGTACCCCATAAACTCTCAAAGGCTCAGAGGACTTTAACACTTTTCTTTTGCGGAACGCGTGCATCTTTTAGAAAGAAATAGCTAAACTCAAGTACAACGGCTGATCTGGGCCAAATTTATTCAAGAACTAATGATTTTTAAATCTGAAAGATGCTCACTCCTACAGTATAAAATGTGGAGATGACGTGACTTGCTACCAAGTGGGTAAAAGAAAGCACATCTTTGTGCATGTCTTCTGGTAAATATATTCAAGTGTATAAGTTCATCGAAAATCAATGCAAAAATGCATACAGGTTGAGTAGTTATTTCTGACCGAGTGAAGTGATTAATATCCCATTCCCACCTAGGTAATTCTTCCTAATCGGGAGCGCATTTCAGAATTTCGGCTAACATTCCATGAGATTGGTCGCCGGCTGTGGGTTTAAAAACTCCTTAATCGTTTATACAGTGCGTGACCGATCTCATGAAATGTTGGCCAAAATTCTGAAACGCGTTTTCGACTAGGAAGGATTTATATGGTTGCGTTGTAAGATTAATTATCATGCAGAACAATTTTACAGTATGTCGGACTCGCGAGGATGTCGGCTTCTGAATGCACTTCTTTCAGAAACCGAACTCGGAAAAAATGACTACTTGAACAGCATGCATTGTTCACACCTATTTTGGATGGTCATACACATTCAAATAAATTTTATAGAAAACATGCAGTAAAAATGCCTTCTTATATTTGTTTGGTAGAAAACCACATTGTCTTTATATTTTATGCCCTGTAAAAGGTTGCGTTTCGGTTTAAAATTTTTTTTATAATTATGACGTTTTAAGACCGTACGATGTCTGATTATACATCATGGCACGTGACCGTTTAGAAATCTACCAGTGTACAACATAGCCCCTATCCATTGCAAAAGTTTATGAAATTTAAACAATATCTTCTGAAAGCTATAGAGGAATATATGATTTTCCTTACGCGTAACGCATGCAACTTATAGAATGAAATCTCTAAACGCTAATGCAACGACTGATGAGGCTCAAAATTTATCGGGAATTGGGAAACTTTTTCAAAACTTAAATATACACTTTTTTCGGGTATAATATATGAAGGAAATGTGATTTTCTACCGGAAAAGTGAAAGATGACATGTTCTTGTGCATGTTTTCTGTAAAATATATTTGAATTCGTATGGCCGTCAAAAATCAATGTGAAAAATGCATGCTTATTTAGTAGTCACTTTTTACAAAGCAAAGTTTCTGCGGGAGATCAGAAAGGAGTGCATTCAAAAGCCCATATCCTGACGAGTCCGACTTACTATAGGATCATTTTACATGATAATTAATAATACAACGACAATTTATTAATTCTTCCTAGTCGAAAAGGCATTTCAGAATTTCGGCCAACGTTTCATGAGATCGGTCACGCACTGTGACTGCCCTGATCCCTAACCCCAACCTATAACCCCTAACAGGTACGGCTACGAAATAAGAT